ATTCCACCCTGCACTGAAAGTGGGTATTACTTTGCATAAACTTTGCCATATTTAACACACAATTTGAACAGGAAAAGATCATCACAGGAAACTTAATCCATCCTTATGTATTAAATTAATTGATATAAATCTGCATGTGAGCCTTCCTTATAAAAACCGTGGGGGTTTTATGAGGTATGGGATGCTGTGAGACTTTCCATTAGGTGTTACTTGCTATAACAAATTACCATTATTATCCTGTGCATTTCTGTTTCATAACATGTTGTGTTTCATTGTTAGTCTTCTGAAAATAATAAAACAGATTAAACTAAACAAGAGCTGCCCAGGGATAATAACAAAGTCTATAAAAAGAGAAACTCTCCAATTATGGTATACAATATTATTAAATCATAAGAGACCTTAAGAAAGGTTGAATGAATCTTCATGTGTACAAGTGGATGAAAAGCACTATATAAGAGCTGGGAGGGGGGGGTAGTGCTGGTGATTATATACTGTAAATAACTGGGTATATATGGAATTTGTGTGTGAGCCTGTGCTCTTGCATCATGGACCCCTCTGATTCTGAGTCTGTCAGGATGAAGCCACAGAGTCCCACTGCATTTCCAGGCCCTCTCCGTGGGGAATTGCTTACCCAGAATTGATGTGTCCCTGGCAACTTCTCTGCAGGACATCTGATGGGACTGATGGAGGTTATAAGAATGATCTGCTTTCTTCTGGAGAGCTGTTGTACAGCCTCTATTCAGAGAACCTTCAACAGAAGGCTGCTGCCTGTGGAGGTCTCTCTTTCTGAGAGTGAAGTGTGCAATTCCTTTTCTGAGAGTGGATGGTGGAGGAATAGTAGAAAAACTGCTACATGTGGCAAAACTGTGCTATTCCACTGTTCCTGGAGAACATCCATCAGCCTTAACAAAACCAAGGGATTTCTTATTTTGGTGTACCTCCTGTATGGGTGTGTGTTTTGGGCAGTGCTCTGCCTTGGGTGTGACATGCTGAGCCACACTTGCTGCAACACTTGGGCACAAAAACAGTGCTGGGTCTTGGCTTGAATACATGTTTCAGTGCAGCCTGTCTGCCCTGCTGGGACATGTGATCAATGCTGAGATTTCTGTACTCACTTTTTTGTTTTGGTGGTGGCAGGGATGATGCTGGTCAGATCTGTTAGAAGATACGTGTCAATGTCCCCTAGTATTGAGACACTGCACTTTGGTGTAGCTTTGGTGCTCTTCTCCTCCTTTCCCTGGGTCTTCTGAGGGCCTTTGCATTTGAACTGCCCTTTGCCATTTTGCAGGAGGTTTGGCCGAATCTTTGCTTCCAGGGACTCTTCCAGCAGAGGTGCCAAAGCAGTAAAAGCTCTTCTCCAAGTGTTTAGTGGGTGGCTCCTCTGAGGAACAACCTCCATGTCTGAGATGGTTGTATCTCCTCTTTTGAGGGTCTCTATTCCTGGCAGTGTTATCACTTGCTGTGTTCAGCCCCAGATCTTTAGGATGCTGTTTGCAAACACGTCTCTGTTTTGAGGAGCAGCCTGTTCATACAGCCCAGAGCACCTCCTCTCCTCACTGTGTGCTCTAACAAGGCCACAAGATGTGGAAGTAACACTTAATGGAAAGTCTCACAGCATCCCATACCTTATAAAACCCCCAGAGTTTTTATAAGGAAGGCTCACATGCAGATTTATATCAATTAATTTAATACATAAGGATGGATTAAGTTTCCTGTGATGATCTTTTCCTGTTCAAATTGTGTGTTAAATATGGCAAAATTTATGCAAAGTAATACCCACTTTCAGTGCAGGGTGGAATCTCTGTATAAGATGTGTCTTACAAGCTGTGCTGCAGCTCAGCAGAGGTTATGATCTTCATACAGAAATGGCTACATGATATGATTTTCCCCATTTGTGAGGCAGTATAAGTATGGAAAATGCATGAGTATGGAAATGCATGGACAGCACCACCTCCTTCCAGTGTAGTACTGTTTTTGCTTGCTAGAACTTCTGTTTATGAACATTATGTTGGAGAAAGACCACTCCTTCCTTAATTTTGAGATTGATATCTCTGTTTTACTTCCTTTGTTTGCTGAACAGTCTGCTGTGTATAATTGCTGCACGCTGCTGCCAGTAAACAAGACTGGCTCTCTCTGTTAGGGTATTAAAGATTAAGAGGAGAGAAGTAATTTTTTATTTACCCATCCCCTTCTTGGCTCCCTTGCCCAGAAGTTCCTCCACAGCTCCCCTGCAGTGGAGCAAATTTGGCATTCCATAGCAGGCTGCCTTTTTTCCCCCATGGCTGTGTGAGCTGGGCAGCTTTGCAGAGTTCTTGTGACTTGGATTAGAGCTGTTTGAAGACCCAGATTTTTGACATGCAATAAATTTAACCACTGCTAACATTTCACCATCATTCTGCTGGGATTGTTTCAGGACTAAAGAATGTTTCCTTCGTTGCCATGTGGCCTAATTTCTTATGACAAAGAGCTTTAGCAGCAAAGAGCACTGGTGTGAATATAGCACCTGCACACCCTCATGTTTAGTGTTCATGGACCACCAAAGATGGTATTTAAAACACACTTGCAGGCTGATTTTGCTGTTTAGGGGAAGAGTTACCTGAACAGCATGGTATTATGTTTGTGTTTTGTTCTGTTGCTTTTTATATATTTACAGAACACACAGGGGAGCAGCCAGGCTGTGAGGCCGATGCTTTTACAGAGCTGTTCTCAATAATTTACATCAGGTAACTCACAGCTTACAAGCCTCATTGCCTTGGTGTTCACCCTAAGAAGGGGTGTGAAGGACTCACCCCACCTTTGGCATAAGGGTAGGAGGATCCCTTACCTGTAAAGTTCTGCCTCTCCTGCCAGCAGACCTGTTTTGCTGGATGGGAAAGTGATCAGATATGATCCATGGAGACTGATGATAGAATTTTCAAGAGTATTGCCACATGTCATGAGTTTAGAGTTTGGTTCTCACAACTTGGCCTACTAAATGAGAATTTCTCCCCTTTTGGTGCACAAGTTCATATCTCCTGATATCCTGAGCACTTGTCCTCACCTGCCTGCATCTGCTTTCTCCAGGAATCAGGTTCCCAGATCACACTTTGGCATTTGAGGGGGACCAGTGGACTCTGCTTCAGCTGATACACAGCTAGAAATGATTTATTTGTATAAAGGATGTCTCCTGCAGAGGGTCCCTGTCATTGTGCACATCTGCAGGTGCCTTGGAGTGAACTGTGGCTCCTTTAGGGGCAGGGTGGCCCTGTGCTGCCCCTTGTTCCCTTGTGCTGGAAACAAGATTCTGGCCTGGGGGTTCCTGCTGCTGCAGTGTATTTGCAGCTGAAGCTCTGGCTGGGTGTGTGTTACTGCCATTTGTTGTGGTTTGTCATTCAGTGCTGGTAGAAATGAGGGAAAGTGATGGATGTTGCTGCCCTGAAGTGGCTTGCAGGAGAAATGGGATAAAAAAAGAAAAACCTCCAAACTCTTTGTGTATTCTTGAATCACACAGACTGATGTCTTGTCAAAATGTAACTACATCAACCCATACTTCAAAGGGAAAGGTCAAGTCATGCCAAAATCTCACTTTTTCACAAACTCTCTGGGTTTCATCTGTTGCCTCCACAAACGCTCCAGTAGGAGCACAGCAGGAATGCACAAGTAAGACTCTTGGTCTGGTAAATTTGGATTGACCTGGAAAATCGAACCCAGGACAGCTAGCACTTCCTTGCTTATGAATAAGAAATGTAGAGTTATTTATAAAAAAAAAAAAAAAAAAAAAAAAAAAAAAGTTGTCTGGCTCTCACAGGCCTCTTCACACCTCCTCTGTCTCACAGAAACACCTAAGGTGTTTTTTATAGTAGCAACAGCTCACTGGCCTTGCTGTCACATCATGCTTGTCACGGGAGACCTGAAGTCTTTTAGTAACAACAAGAAGGATTATTGACCCTATAGCATATTTATAACTGCATGTAAAATATTTAGATTGAGTTCTTCTTTTCACTGCTTATCTTGTCTTTTGTTTAGAAAAAGAAAAAAATCCTTCAACATTAGTTAGACATTTTTCCAGGTTCCTTGTTCATATATGAAGTCTTCCCTAGATAGGCACCATGTGTATGTGTGTATATTTGTGTAGATACATATACATATATATATATATATATATATTTGTCCAAATGTACAGATGTTGTTAATATTTAAGAGAATTATCTTCAACTGTGTGTAAGGCAAGGCTTGTCAGCAGCTGTTAAGCAAGCTGGCTGTAAAAAAACAGTAACCAGAAGAATGTATTAATACATGCTGTCAAACAAATGTCATAACAGCTTGTTACATTTTATTTTTTTTTTTATGATCGACACAAATAATGAACCCTAATTGTCTCACTGAGTCTAGGGTGATGTTAGCTAACTTATCTTTGCCATCAATGTCCTTATAGAAATGAAGTGAACTATTAGACAAGCTTCTTTATGCCAGTAAAGCATTTAAATAAAGGCTTAACCTTCAGTGTGTGACACTGTTTTGAAAGTTAAATGGGAGTAAATGCCCGTGTAAAAGCAGATGCTCCAGCACCTTACCAAGTCCTTGTCTTGGCTGCTCCTGGGCAAAAGAATCTCTTCCAGAGCAGAAAATAACTACCCATGTTGTAAAGCTGCCACGTGGCCAACAGAACCACAGAAGATGCCAATAGGGAGATGGGACAAGTGCCATGATGTTGGCCAGGGTGATTTGCTGCTAAGGAAGCACAGGCGTGGTCTCACTGCAGTAAACTCTGCTGGGAGGGCACAGCACTCTCCCACCTCTGTCAAAAAGGCTGCCAAACACAACCACACAATATAAAAACTGGGGAAATGGCTCCTCTTTAATCAAATAAACCAAAGTTTAGAGCGGTTTGCAGTGATTAATAGCACTAACATTAGATGACTGCAAATGGGGCAAAAGGCATAATTTAGAGTATTTGAAAGCTGCCTTGCTATTAGAAGGTCTCTCAAATCTAGCAATGGTTTTGTTTTGTTTCCCTCCAGGTTAAACATATTGCTGGCTGGCATGAACCCCGTGTATTTCCACGCAGTGAATGTAATTTTACACTGTCTGGTGACTCTTGTGCTGATGTACACTTGTGACAAAGCTGTGTTCAAGGACTGTCGCCTTGCTTTTGTCACGGCGCTCTTCTTTGCTGTGCACCCCATTCACACCGAGGCTGTAAGTATGTGCCACCAAGCCTAAAAATAAATTAATTCTTCAAGATTCTAGGTTTTTGAGTTTTTTTTTTAAGGAAATCTCGGAGTCATACAGAATGTTTTACTTGTGATTTTTTTTTGCTGTGGGGGAGCAAAGGTGGGAATGTACTCTATTTAAAATAATTTGTAGGAGTCATTAAGGAAGAAGCACATTCATACTTGCAGTCTTTGTGCTCTGGAACTGAATTCTAAATGGTGGTCCTAATCAGCCCTGCTGGGAATAAATGGACAGTCAGGAGTTTTCTGAAACCAAAGACCTCAGTGAGGCTGTGCTCTCCTGCTGGGATATTGTTGCATGCCTTCAGTCATCTCCTATAGCCATCAGTTTAGGGAGGAAAAGTGAAGGTAGCATTACTGTGTGTTCTGGAGGAGCTCTCTCAGACAGAGGTAGTGTGATTCACAGATTAATTAATATTTATTCCAATGAAAAGCTAGGAGAATCCTTTTCAGAAAAAGAGTTGTTCACGAACACCAGCATAAGTGACAGAACAGCAGCTCATAGTGGAAATCTTTCTGTTTGTTATAAGGAAACATTTAAAAGACATAATCATTCCAAAACTGCAGTCTGTTAGTGCTAGGAGACACTTGTATAGCTAAAAGGAGTCTTGCTGTCTTGGAGAAGACAAGGTAATGTCCAGCTTTCCACACTGTAAAAAAGAAATGCTCTCATTAGCTGAGATACCACTGACATCACTCTGCTCTCATTCCAAGCCTTTGTAAATGGGGGAGGGAAACAGCTCCTGTGGCTGAGAACTTTTGAGGAGAGATTACCTTAATAACAAAAAGCCACAAGCTTTGGAGTTACTCCCTGTGCTGTGTTGTGTGAACTAATCAGCTAGGCTCCTTTTGATAATACAGCTTTATATTTTAAGGGAGGTTTTAGATGAGGCCCTCTTGGAATTTATTTTTGTCTGGGTCAGAACTTTAATAGGTTAAAATAAATGCCAGAGCTCTGAATATAACTTAATTATGTAATCTCAAAAGGGGCGAGATTTCAAAGGGCCTTTTATTTGCTTTATGGGTGATTTTTAGATCCTTATGAAATAGGATATTCAAGTAACTGTAAAAAAAGTGTTTATCTATTCTTCTTTAGTATTCCCTTTTATAAAAAGATTTTGTTCATTAATCTGTAGGAAGAAACTCTTGCAAACTCAGATTGTTCAGGAGGAATAAATTCTATAAATTCTGTCCTATCCCTTTTTGGTGATAAAGTTCATTCCAATGTTACTTATATAGTAAGTAATTTTCTTTAACAAATTTCAGTACTGGGAGTTGGATGCATGTCTCATCTAAGCCTTATTATACAAAATTAAAACAAATCCTTAAAATTGGCATTTTCTTTATAGCTTAATTAATATTTTATTAAGTAAGGAATGACTTTACTGTTGGCTTACTCATTTGTTTTGCCAAGCTAGAAATGCAGCAGACAAAACTGAGCATACCCTACACTGTGGGGGTGTTCACAGGGGTCCCAGGAAGAGGGAAGAGATGAGGATCTGACTCCATGTTTCAGAAGGCTGATTTATTATTTTATGATATATATATTATATTAAAACTATACTAAAAGAATAGGAGAAAGCATTTCATAGAAGGCTAGCAAGGAATAGAAAAGGAATGATAATAAAATCTTGTGACTGACCAGAGTCTGAGCCAGCTGGACTGTGATTGGCCATTAATTAGAAACAACCACATGAGACCAATCATAGATGCACCTGTTGCATTCCACAGCAGCAGATAACCATTGTTTACATTTTGTTCCTGAGGCCTCTCAGCTTCTCAGGAGGAAAAAATCCATCCTAAGGAAAGGCTTTTTCATAAAATGTGTCTGTGACACTACACTGTCCAAATAACATTTTTGTATGCTGAGGGAGGATAACACTGAGAGATCAAAAACTCAAAATAGTAGCTTTGAGCATGGATTATTGAGGCAGTCAGGAGTATTTGTACTTTTTTAGATGTGTTTTCACACCTGTGTGTCTCCTTTCCTTTCAGGTAACAGGTATAGTAGGCAGAGCAGACGTCCTCGCCTGTCTACTCTTTCTGTTGGCTTTTCTCTCCTATAATAGGTACGTGGTAACATCATGAGATTCTTTGTTCTGAGGAGGGCACCAGAGGCAGCTGTCAGTGTTTCATGGCTGTTGGCAGAGGTGCTTCCCACAGCTCTGCTGTGTGGAATTGTCCTGGCCCCTGCTTGCAGCCATGGTGATGCTTATGAGAACAAAAAACCACTAAACCAGGAGTCAACATTGACAATCCCTCTCCACTGACATTGCTGCTGACCATGCAACAGAGGAGGGCTTGTAAAAATGGTAAAAAAATGTTTTCAATGGAAGGCAAATTGCCTGTGTGTAGAGTGAAGAGCAGGCAGACACATGCCTGCCTTTCAAATGCGTGCTGTGACTGTGGGACTCTGGAACACCTGGTCTGAGAGAGTTAAGGAGTGTGTCTAGACCATTAGTCATCCTTTTCAGGTGAAAACTTGGCACTGCTTGCTGCTCTGTGTTCTAAAACTGGAACTGAACAAGTATAGATACAGAAATAGCTGCCTTGGATGGGCTTTCTGCACCTTTTGCATTATTTACAGTTTGAAATAACATTGTTTGCATTCAGAAATAGCACCATGTCATCACAGCCACAGGGAGAAACTGCTGATATCCCTGTGGGGCTGTCTGCTGCAAACCCACTGTGCTGTTTTCTTGAGAAGGTGTGAAGCACAGTGACCCCAGAGGAATCTGCCTGTTTGATTTCAGTTCTTTCCTGCCTTCTCCCATGTGATAGGGGCTTGCTGCCCAGTCTGTTAGTGATTAGGACACATCTCTGACTCAGGGGACTGTGGGTGGGATGGAGGAATTTTTGCTTGCCTAGTGCTTTTTGTCCCGGAAGGAGAATTAAGCATGTGTGTTCCACATGACAGAAAGCAGGTGTTTTCCTGCCTTTTCTGTACTTTGCCTTCCCCTGACTGTTTCAAGTCTACTTTATTTTTCTGCTTGTCTTTGTTTCACCTCTTGTGCACCAAGAATTGCAGCAGCTCCCCATATTTTCATCTGCCTTTCCTGTCCTGTGGCTAAGCCTTTTCTCATTTTAGATCGTTCATGTCTTGACATGTTTGTGCCAGCCATCTTAAGGCATTAAGGAAGTGTCTCAGTATTTGTGTGACTGTAATACACATGAAAATAGCAGAAAAGTTAAGATATTTCATGTCAATTCTGTTTTTCAGGAGTGTGGATCAGCTTTATGTTGGGGAACATTTCCCTCCCACTGCCTCCCCATTCTTTTTGCTGCTTAGTTTATTCCTTGGGACGTGTGCAATGCTGGTGAAAGAAACTGGAGTCACTGTGTTTGGTGTGTGCTTGGTTTATGACTTCTTTTCCCTCTCCTACAATGGACTCAAATTGTAAGTAACTTCTTAGGCTTATGGTGCTTTTCAGGTCTTTTCACCTAGATGGTAGCCTAAAATATGTATTATTATGGTATACAGCACTGGGGGGAGATGGACTTGCCCTGTTAAATTAGATGGATATTTGACAAATTTGAAGGGACCCACAATTGCTTTCTGTGTTTTGTGGTGGTGGGATTTTTTTATTTTTTAATTTTTTTTATTTTAAATTTTTTGTTACTCTTTTGCTGCCTGATTACTTTTGTTGGGTAAATTGACCAGATGTGAAGAACTGATCCCTGAAATGCTGAATTCACCCTGGCAAGGCTAATATTTATTTTTAGTGTGGGAGTTCTGACTGAAGCATCAACATCCTAAAATTTCTCTGGTTTAACTCCTTCCAGTCACAATGTCTGCTTGATTATTCCATCACAATGCCATGGGTTTAGAAATGTTACATGATGTTTAGTGGTAAAATCAGGTTTGATATTTTTTCTGTCCTTTCAGGATGGAAAAAGAGGGAAAATACCCATCCATTTCTGGTTGGAATAATTAGCAGCTCTCAGAAGTCACTGGAGAAAAATAAAATACTTTGAAGTTTGTACCCCTCACCCACTTAGTGTCACAAATAGCAATGCTGTTTTCCATCTCCATGCAGAGTCAGAAGTCCTAGTTTATTAGAAAATTTTTATAATAACCATTACATATGTGTTTTATCTGTTTTTTTCCCCAAAACATCCTTGGTGCAGATCTGTGAGTGAATGTAAGAGCTCAGTGCTCCTGAGAATGGGAGTTCTTGCTCCTCATATCATTTCTTATGTTTCTGCTGGTGCTGCCCACCAGCCCTGGAACCTGTCACACCCTACATGAGCTTGTGTCTATCTGGGTTATAAAAAGGACACTGAATTTGTGTTTCTGAAGTAAATTGAATGAACAGAGCTGGCACAAGGTGAGATCAGCAGCTGCAGGGAGGAGAAGGGGGACTCTCAGGAGCATCAGACCTGCCCTCTGGCAGCGCTAGAAATCAGCAGGCAGGGGATTCCTCCTCTTTTCACTGGATAAGTAGTTCCTAATGGTGGGACTGGTGGGCAAGGAGCCAGGGAGATTTCTGGGGGCTGACAGCCAGCTTGCTTGTTAACACTTGTATTTACACCCTGACAGGCTGTTTCGGGAGCTGCCTGGCTAAAGGGAACACAACTGTTAATTAACTGCAGGGAAATCTGTGCCTTCCTCCTCCCTCTTTTTCTCAGTCTGCCCCTTCCATAGGCCCACATTCCAGGGGGTCTCTTCAAGCTATTTTTTTGTTTCAGTGGTGTCCACTTGCCCAGATGTGGCACTATTTGTCTTGTAGGAATGAAGCTCTTTTGTCCAGATGTGCTGTGTTGTGTTATCTCCTCTGGTTGCATGTATTGTGCATTTATCTCTTTGTGATGCTCAAGATTTTATGACTGCATTTGACTTTAAGGGGCAGCAGAAAACAAACAGCCTTCTATGTGCTGCTGAAAACTGACCTGCTCCTTCTTCCAACCCCTCCAGATTTGTTTTCTGTTTAAAAGTGGTGGAACATCATTTGTTTTCTGGAGCAAAAAATTAGGAGTGACACCACAGTGCTTCCCATCTTAACAGAGGTCCAGAGAACAGCTTGATACAGGAGAGCTCATCTTCTCTTACTGTCAAGTCTCTAGCTCTAGTTAGGAACTAATAAATACTGTCCTCTCAGCACACAAAGGCTTTTTTTATGGATTGAAGTAATGTTGTGTGTTGTAGTTTTGTTAAAAATGGGTTAGAAACTGTTGTAAAATGTGATGGTGTTGACAGGCGTCCCAGGACGAGAGAAGAGATGAGGATCTGACTCCATGTTTCTGAAGGCTGATTTATTATTTTATCATACATATTATATTAAAACTATACTAAAGGAATAGAAGAAAGGATTTCATCAGAAGGCTTGAAAGGAGTGGAATGGAATGATAATAAAATCTTGTGACTGACCAGACAGTCCAGACAGCTGGACTGTGATTGGCCATTAATTAGAAACAACCACATGAGACCAATCACAGATCCACCTGTTGCATTCCATAGCAGCAGATAACCATTGTTTACATTTTCCTCCTGAGGCCTCTCAGCTTCTCAGGAGAAAAAATCCTAAGGAAAGGATTTTTCATAAAATGTGTCTGTGACAGTAAAATAGTTGATAATTGTTAAACATGTACTGTTAGTTTGGTTGTTATATTGTAAAAGGGGTTAAAGGATAGTTACAAGAAATATGGTACAAAATGTACCATAACACACCTCAGTAAAGTGCAGCACCCCCCAGTGAAATGAGCCAGCCTGGACAGAGCTGTAATGGGCCAATCCAGTGCCTTAAACCTTCATGCAAATGAAGGATCCAAAAAGAAACCAATCCAAAGGGACAAAAACCAGGATAGAAAGGGGCTTCTGGCCCACTGAATGTGCGCTGCTCCACCGGGGCCATCGCTGCTGAGCAGCCCCAGCGCCGGCGCTGCAGCATCCTCAGCAGGAGCGCTCCTGCTCAGCCCGGGCCCCTTGCTTTATGCCTTTCTTTCTCTTACAATAAACACTGAAATCACTTTAGTACCAGGAGCCTGCTCTCGTTTTTAACACTTTGATACCGCGTTGTGCCGATTTCTCAGCGTTCAACCTTTGGATGAGTGAAAGTGCCAAGAGTACAAGTCCTCACATCCTTTTCTTTCCCTCCTTTCCCTCCTTTTTCTGCCTTTTCTCAGGAGGAACGGGGGCATTCCCCAGAGGCCCGTGCCCGCTCCGTGGGGCTCGCCGCCGTCCGGCCGGGAGAACGGGAAGCAGCAGCAGCAGCAGCAGCAGCGCTGTGCCCAGCGTGGCACCTGGAGCTCCTGCCACCCGCCCGTGCCCCGGGAGCAGCCCAGCCTGCCCGTGCCCAGCAGGGCCATCTGGGCCATCCGCAGGTACTGCTGCACACTCCTGCTCTGTTCGCCTTGTGTTAGCCCTTTTTAATCCTGAAATTGCTGTGGTTGTTCTTGTGTTACCGGAAGGGGAAGGCGGGAGGAGGTGGAAGGAGGGTTAAAGGAGAAAGGAGGAGAATATCTATTGGAAATCAGGGCAACCCCAGTGATGGGGAGAGAATGATGCATCTGACTCTATGGGTATCAGAAGGTGTAGCAGGCACAGGGCCTTCAAGGCCTCTCTGGTGGTCAGCAGACTAAGATAGGAGATGCTGAGTCATGATGACTAGACCTAAGAAGCCTCCAGACCCATGCTTTTTTCCGCCTCCAGACCCGTGCTTATCTCTCTGTAAGGCTACAGGTCACTTTCCTTTGACCCTTACTATTGGACAATTCCTAAAACCCCTGTACCCTATATAAAGAGCTGCTTTTGCCTGGTTTGGCAGAAGAGCTCTCCCTGCGAACCTTCACAGAAGACCTCAGTAAAGTCACCCTTGTGGAACCTCACGCAGCCTTCTCCTCTCTCTCCCTGTGTCTGCCAAAGGCACTTAGCAAGCAAAGAGCTGAAATCACAAAATGAGCTGATAATCACAAAAGATCTGGTATCACCTAAACTTGCTAAGATAGCCTGTGGCTGGGAGCTCCTTGGGAACTGTGGCTGTGCTGAACAGGACTGTGCTATCCGGACCTGTAGCAGCCCACAGGGATACCCTGAAACCTGGCCAAGGCTGCATTAAGAAGGTTTATTAATTACTTTATTATGCTATATTACTATACTATATTACACTATATTATATGACATCTAAAACTGAATCTGCCCAAGCACTCAACTGCGCAGAATCTCGTGACTGACTGTGACTGACAGTCTGCACTCACGCTTGGCCCTTGTGAGAAACAACTGCTCACTTTGAAAATTTAAAAAGGTTTATTAAACCTTGACAAAAATACAACAAAGGACTACACAGGGAAAAAGTTGCACTGCTGAGAACTGCCCCTCATGCACACCACATGGCCAGTTCCTCTTCAAGATGGGTGCTCAGTCTTTTACACCCCTGGGGTGGCATCAGCCAGCCCTGGCCCCTCCCAGAGTCTGTCAGTCAGCTCCTCTTTGCCATTGATCAGTGGAGATGCTTGCTTGTAACTGGATTGGAGGTCAGGTGTTGCCGTGCTGCCCCCCTAAGCACCCCCAAGCTTTTCCATTCCCCACTGCCCCATGCCAGGGACACCTGTGCAGCCTCTTTGTACCTGTCCTAGACAGCCCAGGCTGTCTGATGGCAACAGTACAGGGGGGAAAGGGAACTGTGGGGAGAACAGAGGACATCTAAACTACAATAACATAACTGTACATCACTAAAGCTTTTCTTAATATTCACACCATAGTGATCTTTTAATTGTGAGAGCCAATCATCTGATCATCCATCTATAACACCCTGATAGGCCAAGGAAGTAAAACACCATCACTTTGGGTAAACAGTCTCCATATTGCATTGTTCTTTGGCACAACACAGGAGCAGCAAATGGGATAAGAATTGTTTTGATCATTCTTTTCTCTGCTTCTCTCACTGCTTCTCTCACGTTCAGAGAATGTGAATCCCACAAATATCTGAGGACATGTTAGTATTTTTGTTCTCTTTGATCCTTGTATTTGTCTCTGTTTTCCCTGATGGATAGTATCATAGAATTGTTCAGGTTGGAAAAGATGTCTAAGATTATCGAGTCCAACCATTACCTCAGCACTGCCAAGCCTGCTGCTAAACCATGTCCCTAATGCCACATCTGCACATCTTTTAAATAACTTCAGCAATGGTGACTCCACTGCTTCCCTGGCCAGTCTGTTGTTGACAACCCTTTCAGTGAAGAAAATGTTCCTAATATCTAATTTTAAACTTCCCTGGCATGTCTTGAGGCCATTTTCTCTTGTTGTGTTGCTTGCTACTAGGGAGAGACTGATGCCCACAACAGGGGGCAGGAGGTTAATATAAAAAATACCTTCTGTCTTGTTCCATCATCTTGTTCCTTGTTTCTTTCACTCCTGATTTTTTGTACTGCTTTCTCCCCTCCTTTGCTTTGTACTTTTTTCCAGACACCCTCCCTCTGCCCCCGCTTTTGGGAACATCCCTTTCTTGCACAAAGGGAAAGCCTCTCGCCTCCCAGCCTCTTCAGGAGAGGCTGCAGAAGCTGAGTTGGAGAGCCTGTGCACGTGGGACGGCTCCAGAGTGAGCTCCTCCACGCTGCCAATTGGCATTTGCTTTTTGGCAGCTGCCTCTTCAAGTGTTGTGAAGGATTTCTGCACATGGCAAAGCAAGCCCTGCGTGTACATAGCTGCTTTCTGTTTGAAAAGGGGCTCGCGTGGTGGTGTGAGCTGCTCAGCTGCTCTCTTCTCAAGTGACTGACTGTGTACAGCACACTTGCAATGGCTTGCTGTGTGAGAGTTGGCTGTGGCATGCCCAAAGTGGAGCTGGCTTGGTCCCAGTGGCTGAGAGGGCAGCGTGCCTGTCAGAGTTGTGCTGTTGACATATGATATGAAACAGGAAGAACTCAATACAATTTCTCCATTAAAATATGTTCTGTATTAAAAAAAATCCTTGATATAGAAGAAAAAAGAAAATATGAAGTTGCTGTTGAATCTGTAAGATTCATTATGCAATTTTTCCATGTAATTTACATTTGTCTGACTTGTGTAGGTCTTCTTGCATAGCAAAAGGATGGGGGGAAAAAAAGCTTTAAATATTTCAGAAGCTCCAAAATTGGTGGACAGACTTTGCACAGTGAAGTAGCTTCAGGTATTCTATTTAGTCCACCAGGTTACTAGTTGTAAGGTTTTAATTAGAATAAAGTAGTAGGGCACTAATCTGTACTTTTAAGTACTTGTAATGTGATCAAGTAGGTTCCTATTTAATAATAATTTATTATACCTCTTCTTACTAGAGCTGAAAAATGCAGGAAGATGTAGTGGAGGAATTAAGGGAATTGGTCTAATTAGCAGTAACTGGAGCTAGTTATGTAAATTCTTGGTGCAGAGATATTTTTGTTCTTTATTGTCACTTGCTCTTATCTTCAGCTATCCAGTGAATATGTGGGTTGCAGTCCCAGTTGCCTTTAGGAGTAAGGAATGAGTTAGTCTGGAGGAAGTTGTAGGTTTTATCACCACTATTTATTGCAATTTTGGGGAATGCTGGCATATGCTACTGAGATGAGATGACTAGAATCTCTTGTGGGTTTGATCCATCTCCCTGAGTTTTAAAACCTGAAGGAGGCTTATGAGTGTGTGTGCATTTCCATATGATATAAATGGGGAAGGACAGACAGGAACTTTCATGTCAGGCTTGTACTTGAGTTTGGGGTAAGGCCTCAGTGCTTTCACTCTGGTGTGCAATGTGTCCTGTTAAAAATCACTGTCAATGGCAATCGTCACTAATTCTCTTTTTCATCATTTGTTGAAGCCACTGAAAACTGGGATCTATTTTTTTACCTTTTTTTCTTTTCTGAATTGGTTTTGGTTATGCCATGTTCTGTGTGCCTTACACTTTGTGTTGCTAAGTGTGGTCCAGCCCATGAACACCTCCAAGCCACCTAATCACTCTGAAGGTTTTGGGCCATATAAATAATTGGGGACTGCAGTCTAAGCTTCTTGAAAAACAAGATTCCACAATAGCTTGCTTACTTTTGAAACTGAAACCTCTGTTTCTTTTCCTCTTCTCTTCCTAGAAGCTCAATTTTATTGTGTCTGCTGGTGGTGAGACTCTTCCCTTGCAGTGGACCATAGACTGGAAATAATGTTGCTATTTTCCATGTGTCTGAATGGTTGCATGGTGTTTTTGTAGGTTATTTTTATTTATGTATTTAATTTTAATTTTTTTGTCAGGTTACAGAAAAAGCAGGTGTCCCTGGAGCTGTGCCCAACAGCATCACTTTAAATCTGTGTTGTGTGTGTAAAAGAGAGTGTGGGAGCTCACTACTCATTAGCATTATGGGAACCAGGCCCAAAACCCCATTGATCCAAAATCCAATGAAATCCTAAAGGCTGTAACAGGGATAAATGGGATCTGATGACTAAACTGGTGGTGCTGTTGTTTCCTCTTACAGTAGCAAGGCAAGGAAGATGGAAATGCTCTGCAGAATGCGGTGCATTCCAGGGATGTCTGTGCTGGCCCTAAGTTTGATAGACTGTGAGGAAAAATATGTTGAGGTCATAACAGATCTTCCCTGAGTCCCTGTGCAGTGTGCATGGTCAGGGGTTGAGCTGAAACAGATGCTGTCCTTCAGCATGAGGGAAGAGCAGAGGGAGAGGTGGAGGGAAGGCACTGGCACACACAGTGTGGGGCTCTGCAGCAATTGCTTGGCTTTTCCTCACTGCCTGCTTCTGTTTCCAATCCTTGTGTAGCAATGCTTTTTAATTTTTTTTCCTTTTTTTGACTAATATGATAGTATAGCACATTTCTGCTTAAACATGAATTTACTGTTCAAAAAGCAGAAGTGTCAGCTGAATTTCTGTTCCTTTCCCATGCCACACAGTGCAATGCTACATCCTCGATTTGTAACTGATAAGGACAGAACAGTGTGACCACTTTCCCAGATGTGGGCTTTCATGTGTGCAAACTTCACCTTTTCTTGAATTTGTTAGAGGATGTATGATAGGAAAGCGTGGGTATGAAACTGCCAGGGTTATAAAAGTGAGAGGAGAACACTTTCTGTTAGATGGGGTACAAACTTCCTTAAATTTTGGTGAGTTGTTCCCAGTTGCACTTACACACCCTGGAGGTCAGTGTTGGTTGCTTTCAAGTGCAGAGCACAGCAGCAAAAAGCAATGTGTGTCTCTGAGAAAAGCAGCAGGGAGGTAACTATTGTTCATGTGGTGTGTTTGCCCCTGACTAAAATGAGGCAGGAAACCTGGGTACTTTTCTCTGGCCTGAAAGTTCCTTGCCATGCAGCAGCGAAATAGCAAGGAAGTGTTAAAGGGCTTTGCAAACATCAGTGCAAAAGCTGGTGGAGAAATTCCAGGG